TCCACAGTTTGATCCATTCACAACTTTTTTGTTAAAGTATATGCATAAGATGCAGTATAAACAAGAAGCATATATTACAAAGAACAATTCACTTAAAGTCATTTTTAGTACCCTATTCATGCAACCAATCAGCTCATTCACAACAAACTCTGTAGGATACATCATACTGTAAATCTAGAGAAATCATTATAATTTAAAAAAAAAAATCTTACACATTATGTGATTTCACAAACCTTTGTAGATATATAAAGCTGGTGATTACCAATCTAGTAACATACGAATCTATATTATTGTCTGAGTAAACAAAAAAATTTTAGGCATCTAAATTGTTTATATATTTCTTTCCAATTTAGATCATGACATACCAGATATCACAAAGGCTATAAAATCCATCTCGAAAAATTTCTCCTTCTTTGAAGTAGGAAGATTGTCATATGCATAATGGATTTCATAGATATTTTCCCAAAGGCTCTTATTCATGTCAAGATCATAGTTTAATTTATCTGTATCTTGTATTATACCATCTTTTGCAATCTCTATATTTCCTATTAAGAAAACATTATGAGTGAAGGTTAAGTTGCATTGAGCTATTTAACATCAGCCATACTCACCAGGTTCAATCTTGAGAACATCATCATGAAAGTAAATATCTGGTTGTTTTCCATGTAAACTTGCATCAATTTTATGCAACACAAATGATGAACTCTCAGATGATGAACCAGCTCAAAGAGTGTGAAAATATTGAATAGCCAAGTGATCAATTACAATGAGAGAATAGTAAATGGATGCTGATTTATGACTTTCACTATTTGTTTTAGTTAAAGGATTCTTTGAAGATAGCTCTATATAATCTAGCCTAGTATAGGATATAGAAAATTATTAATTTATTAATCACTAGTCTGTAATAGTAATTTTGTAAAGTTTATTTGCCAGTTATCAACAGTTGACAGGATCCATTTCTTTAGATAATAATAAAAGAGCATATCATCAAGCTTTAACTGCCATTGCATTAATAATTGCATTTCTCTCAATGAATGTACTATCTGAGTATTTGTTAGTTCTTTGAGCATGTTTTTTAATTCCATCAGCAATTCTACATTACCATGAAAGTAACAAATTTTTATCAATTTCTTGAAATCTTCCACTTCCATATAACCATTTAAAAGCCAACTATTGTTTCTATCAAGAATGAGATGATTCCCATTCCAGAAGCTATTATGAGGTACACCATCTAGAAGACTTCTTATAATCATGCCACTTTTGAGTATAAGGCGCGGTCTTGAAGGGTAAAATGATTGTGCAGTTGAAAATTTTTTTGATAATTGCGGTGATTGAAGTGGTGTGGGACTGGGCGGAGTCCATGAATCACTCTGTGTCTGGAGTTTGTGGTTCAGTTTCATCTTCATTTCCTTGTCCGCATAGACGTTTGAACATACGATAGTCTTCCACACTCTCTAATTGTCTCACCACCTTCTCTCTAACCAAGTGTCCTTGCCTATCTTGTTGTAGGGTCGAGTATACAGCAGTGGTAGTAGTAGTAGTAAGTTCCTCCTACAACAACAGAAGAGCAGTAAACACATGAGTATTTCCATCACGGCATATTGGCAGATCAAATGCATACCACTAAAGCTGAGCACTCAGATAAGGTCTCAATTTTCCGTTTTTAAACTGAGGTGGCCTTCTTCCAGAATTCGTTGATTAAATCCGATTTTTTTTCTCTCTATTAAGGATATAAGGATTAATAAAGCTAAAGGAAAAAATTATAATCCCGAGTCGCAGTTAATATATTCTGGTTGCAAGAACGGAACCACCCGAGACGAGACTCATGCACTCCCAAGCGAGATCAAGAGTGTTGGGTGATTGAATGCAGGACGAGACCCCATCCAAAGAGTTATTGCTCTTCAGACCATGCACTTTCGATAGGATGGTACTACCCGAGGCGAGACTCACACACTCCCGAACGAAATCAGGGGTGTTGGGCAGGACGAAACCAATCACATATGCACTTTTCGGCAGGACGGAATCACCCGAGACGAGACTCATGCACTCCCGAGCGAGATCAGGAGTGTTGGGTGATTGAATGCAGGACAAAACCCCATCCGAAAACTTTATTACTCTTCGGACCCGTTCACTACCAACAAAAGAAAGAAAAGAAAAATACTTAACTCGCATTGATGTAAGCGCCACGCCAGCTCGTTCAATTGCAGTCTCAGGTAAATCTTCACATTTAATTATGGCTGAGAGGTTGCGAATGTAGCGTTTGTGTTCACTGCATTTATCAGCTAAAAAATCATCGCACTGTTGTCGATAGAGTAGGAAACTTAACAATGACCAGTCACGTCAAGGGTGAAGTAGGTATGATCGTCTATTGGGATTCCTATTGAAAAAGAAGAAACTCTATAACGCCGAGGAAGGTAGAAATCCCAGAGAATATAACTTACCTTCCATGTGTTTTTCTTCTGCTACAATAAAGTTAGAGGCTGATATTGACGGGAAAAAATTTTTTTCTGGACATTTTGGGGCTTATACTCGAAACAATCTCCTCCCCTTTACAAGCTCTAACACAGCAAGTACACATAATGTTGATCACCAAGAATGCGTCAACAATTTGCTTCGTAGTCTCAATCCATTATCAAATAGCGTCAATAACTTTATCCGAGATAGTTATGGAAATTTGTACACCAAGTTGAGTCCCAAACTCAAAAGGAAGTTGTCATAGGGCCCATATGCTCCAAGAAGTTTTGGTATATTCCCGATGATTGCTATTAATTTCAATACTATCAGTGACTTTCACTGGGACGAACACGACGAAGCAAATAGTTTGTGTGTCTTAGTTGCACTCGGAGATTACGAGGGAGGGGAGTCATGTTTTCCTCAGCTCCAAGTGGTGGTACGAATTCGTCCAGGTCAGGTCATAGCATTTACTTCACTTCATGGAAAATTTCCAATCACGAGAGGGATTCGACATAGCGTCGTATGATGATCTGAAAGTAGTGCAAAATATGGCGCGCGCGACCAAATCTTCAGAAATTGGTTACAGTAACGTGACCGTATGTACGACGTCTTCAACCAGTCATCAGCTTTGAAATATTGTGT